ATCATGTTTTATTTAAATATTCTTAGTCTTCGTTGCTCTCAGGAAGATAGATAGTTATCTTTTTTCTAATGGTGACTATTTTGAACAGTTGATAGCTTTTTTTATCGCATAAACACTGTACATACATATTGTGATGCGTATTCGTCACCTTTATTATTTTTTTTTGTTACAAATTTTTTTGTATTAGAACGATAATTAAATAGAACATTTGAGATCTGCACACTTTAATCTTTCGCATATAAATAACAGTTTTCTTTTTATACAGAAAAATACGTAGCAAAACAAAACATAAAAAAAATTATTATCAAAAAGTCCTAGTCATTGGGTTACGTTAATTAAACTGATTCTTCTTCAAAATACGAAACCCGTCTGAAGAATTTAGTATTTTGTCAGATGCCTCAAACTGTCGGCTACAAAATATCTGTAGAACATTCCTTTCAATACAGCACACATTCGCAGGAACATGAAGAAAACATGCATCATCCTCAAACTTTTGTCCTTTTTTTCGTCATCGCGTTACGCTCGTTCAAGCCGTCATTAGTACTAGCAGAAGTACTCGGCGTTGTCTAAGAATCTACGATGAATTAACATACCTCACCTAATTAAGCCATCGGTTGTTCAGTAAGGTATCATGCTCAACAGATGTCTGATTTCTAACGTCCTTCTTACGATCGTTCAGTGATACTTATTTATCCAAAACTCCGGTGTCTGTTGATTCTCTACTAATCATTAAGTTATCGAGGTGATTGCACCCGAAATTCGAATTTGTTTTGTCTAAAATACCTTGCCTCACCATGTTCTTGATAGTATAAGTGGTTTTGTCTGCTTTCCTAGGTGCTAGATTTCTATTAGCTTAAAGGCAACCAATCAGATTTTGAGGCAAACGGCCTCTAGATTCCAACTTATCAGGTCTAAAATTTCATGCCTCATCATTTTTCCGGAAGGATAGTTGTCTTCGTCTATTTTCCTATTGGTTTCCGGACAATCAATCAGATTTTAAGGTAAATAGGCCCCAGATTCGAACCTATTGTACTCGAAAATCTAGAGTTCCATGTTTTCTGTGCATTTAGAAAGTACTACTCAATAGTACTTGTATAGTACCGAATACTGCAATCTAATTGCTCAGCAACATAGGCGTGTTTTTTTTGCGGGCGGAGGATCAATTCTTTTAGAATAATGAAAATAGGTGTTGACCTTCTCCTGCATGAGAGAAGGATTTCTGAAATGTTTGGTTGGATTTGCTTGTACGATGCAGAAATACATCAAGAACAGGGTAACAAATAAACAAGCACGCTTAAATATATATATATTATAAACTTATGATAATTAACAAGAAAAGATTTTCTGAAAAATGTAAATACAATTTGGTAATTTTTGTTGGGCTGTTATTGAATCTCTATTTGCATATTCGTATGATCTGATTAAAATCTGGTGATCCGAGACGAGGAGATCTTGGATTGGACGTCCGTGCTCGTGGATGCTTTACGACATCAAGCATGTCTTCAAGATTTTCTTGATCAATCCGATGAACATGTGATGATGGTGTTGCCGCCCGTCGATCTTTTTTTACAGGCTCAACAACAAGGACGGGGTTTGGATTATCCCGATATTTTTTTTATTTCACAATTCCAGGATCATCTTTTTTACAATCGGCATCTTGTCCATGAACATTTTTGAGTTGTTTCATCATATCTTCGAAATGTTGTCGAATTAGATCCAAATTTACATGTGGTTTTGGTGGTGGTGGTGGTGGAAAAATTGGTTTCGGTTCGACTTTTTCNCAAATACAATTAAGATTCTTGAAATAGAACAGCATCATAAAGATAAGTCAAACGTACAAATGGCACATGTATTTCAGTGAGTGAAACCTGTACCAAAAACGAAAAACAATTCAGTCAGTTAGAGTTTTACAAAATAATTCAATCAAATATAAATATTATTCTAACAAATCAACAACAAAAAACATCGAAATTCCATGTTTGAATATGCCAATTGTCTTTTATCAGATTATAGAGAGACTTATATTTAATGTATAGTGAAATCATGTTTTATTTAAATATTCTTAGTCTTCGTTGCTCTCAGGAAGATATATAGTTATCTTTTTTCTAATGGTGACTATTTTGAACAGTTGATAGCTTTTTTATCGCATAAACACTGTACATACATATTGTGATGCGTATTCGTCACCTTTATTATTTTTTTTTGTTACAAATTTTTTTGTATTAGAACGATAATTAAATAGAACATTTGAGATCTGCACACTTTAATCTTTCACATATAAATAACAGTTTTCTTTTTATACAGAAAAATATATAGCAAAACAAAACATAAAAAAAGTTATTATCAAAAAGTCCTAGTCATTGGGTTACGTTAATTAAACTGATTCTTCGTCAAAATACGAAACCCGTCTGAGGAATTTAGTATTTTTTCAGATGCCTCAAACTGTCGGCTACAAAATATCTGTAGAACATTTCTTTCAATACAGCACACATTTGCAGGAACATGAAGAAAATATGCATCATCCTCAAACTTTTATCCTTTTTTTCGTCATCGCGTTACGCTCGTTCAAGCCGTCATTAGTACTAGCAGAAGTACTCGGCGTTGTCTAGGAATCTACGATGAATTAACATATCTCACCTAATTAAGCCATCGATTGTCCAGTAAGGTATCATGCGCAACAGATGTTCGATTTCTAACGTCCTTCTTACGATCGTTCAGTGATACTTATTTACCCAAAACTCCGGTGTCTGTTGATTCTCTACTAACCATTAAGTTATCGAGGTGATTGCACCCGAAATTCGAATTTGTTATGTCTAAAATACCTTGCCTCACCATGTTCTTGATAGTATAAGTGGCTTTGCCTGCTTTCCTAGGAGCTAGATTCCTATTAGCTTATAGGCAACCAATCAGATTTTGAGGCGAACAGTCTCTAGATTCCAACTTATCAGGTCTAAAATTTCATGCCTCATCATTTTTCCGCAAGGATAGTTGTCTTCGTCTATTTTCCTATTGCTTTCCGGACAATCAATCAGATTTTAAGGTAAATAGACTCCAGATTCAAACCTATTGTCCTCGAAAATCTAGAGTTCCATGTTTTCTGTGAATTTAGAAAGTGCTACTCAATAGCGCTTGTATAGTACCGAATACTGCAATCTAATTACTCAGCAACATAGACGTGTTTTTTGCTGGCGGAGGATCAATTCTTTTAGAATAATGAAAATAGGTGTTGACCTTTTCCTGCATGAGAGAAGGATTCCTGAAAAGTTTGGTTGGATTTGCTTGTACGATGCAGAAATACATCAAGAACAGGGCGACAAATAAACAAGCACGCTTAAATATATATATATATTATAAACTTATGATTATTAACAAGAAAAGATTTTCTGAAAAATGTAAAAACAATTTGGTGATTTTTGTTGAGCTGTTATTGAATCTCTATTTGCATATTCGTATGATCTGATTAAAATCTGGTGATCCGAGACGAGGAGATCTTGGATTGGGCGCCGGTGCTCGTCGATGCTTTACGACACCAAGAATGTCTTCAAGATTTTCTTGATCAATCCGATGAACATGTGATGATGGTGTTGCCGCCCGTCGATCTTTTTTTACAGGCTCAACGACAAGGACGGGGTTTGGATTATCCAGATATTTTTTTAATTTTACAACCTTAGGATCATCTTTTTTACAATCGGCATCTTGTCCATGAACATTATTGAATTGTTTCATCATATCTTCGAAATGTTGTCGAATTAGATCCAAATTTACATGTGGTTTCGGTGGTGGTGGTGGTGGAAAAATTGGTTTCGGTTCGACTTTTTCCTTCTTGCGATATTCATGATAGAAACCAATGAAAATACTATCTTTTGTTTCTATTGTGTTTTTTGTATAATCGGGACACTTTTCTTTGATATATTGATCGGCTGCTTGCCGATACTTATGAAGAGTATTTTCCAGCCCGACAGCTGTTGGTCGGCGAGTCGATTCATCCCGAATACACTTAAGAATAAAATTCGTGAAAATTGGACTTTGTTCGATTAACTGAACTCGTTTTGTCGATTGATTAAATCGATGAGTTTTCTCTGTAAATAGTTCATTCAATGTTAATCCATAAGTAAACACATCCAGTGATTGATCATATTGACCGTCTCCTCTATAATAAACAGAATAGTAACGATTAAAAAGTTAGTCAAAGTAAATCAAGTTCACTTAGATTTCTTACTGACCGATAAAATTCCGGTGGCATGAAAGGCAAACAACCAATTAATGTGTGGCGTTCGTCTGGATTGAATATATGTGCAATACCCATGTCACCGATCTTTGCTGTAAAATTATTCGATACAAGAATNCTATTGTGAAATATAGTTCGTCTGCTGTCGTGTAGCGCAGATGATTGCTTTTGTCCTTACACATAACGCTTTTTCTTTCCTTGTAATACAGAATGTGTCATGACTTGCATCATCATGACGAATTTTTTCCTCCTACAGCAGTCTGCCGTATTCTTTCGAGCTACTCATTGAAAAAAACCCATTGCTTGTTATTAACGTTTACAATCTCGTTATTCAAGCACAATAAATCTATTCAATAGATATTGTGTAAAAACATTGCAAATTTCTTATAGTTTTAAAAAACTGTTACTTGAGGTTATTTTAATGTAGATCCTAGAAAAAGAAAATTGTGATCGCATCTCCTTTGGAATTGATGTATGTTATACTCTTTTTATTTGCGCGAAGTATACGAGAACAAGAAAGGAAAAATAACCTAGATATTCATGCATTTAATATTTTAGTTCATATATTCTGGAGTGGAATTCGTCTTATAAATCTTACATTCTTCAAAAATTCTCTACTTATTGAAAAGCACGAGCTAACAAGGCATCTTCTTTCACTATGTCATCGGGACCAACATAGTATCTTGTGTATTTCAAAGACTTCAACTGAAGATCTGTATGAAACTCAAAATGCATAGTGTGAATGTCATTCTCGTAGTCTAAATCTAAATTGTTGTAAAACTTCATTCGATTCATTATTTAGTATAAAATTAAACCTTGATAATAAAAATAAATACATTTAACAATAATTGAAATAATATCAATACGTTTTCGTTTTCCAGTTCTCTCTCAGAAAAAAAACCTGATATTTACTTAACTGACTATAGATTAGAAATTAATAGATAAATATATAATGCATTAACTGAATACTAATCAGACGAAGAGGATAAAGTACAATTAAATGAAAATATGAAAGATATAGTCAAAAGAAAACAAATACATTAGTATGTCAATAGTAAGGATGATGTGAAACAGTATACAATAGAATTAAATGTTCGAATGTCTAATAATCACGATTATGTCAAAAGTCATTTGCTATTTTTATTCTAAACTTATTTAGATTTTCTTCGTTTATTTCAAATTAATTTTGAATTCTATTATAATTTTACAAACGATAATATAATTCAACAAAGAAATAAAGTCAAACCGTTAGGAAAAATATATGTTCATTAGATAGTATTAAATATTTTGACAATTTATTTTATAGCGACAATCATCAAAAATATTAATGTATTCAACAAAAAGTTCTGAATAGTAATAAAACATCATTCACAAAAGATTGATGATATTTTAGTAAAAAATGTCAATATCATTAAAGGAAAAGCAAGAGAGGATACAATTACACACATGTGTTTTATTATATTAGCTACCCTTGTTTGAATAATAATGAAATACAAATAATGCAAGTATCTGCACAACATCTAAACGAAAATAGATGATAAAATTTTATTTTCAAAGATTTTACGTGATTTAATACTTGATTTTTACTACAGCATTTAATAGAAATAGTTTATAAATCAAATATAGATACAATCCAAATGAGTGTTTCGATTGCTGCCATTTAGCATGATATTTTTTTAATTGAATTTATACGTAGTTTGTATAATTTTGCTATTATTGGCTATAAAATCTATGTAACCAATCGCTTTTAATAGCTTATATTCTTTTCCATGGCCAATGAACATAAGCATTTAAAAAAATGGTTCAGCATGTGAAGAATATACAACTTATATCCTAGTATTAAGTAAAGACAAAAGCAATAATTGAAATTTCTTTTATGATAGATTTTTTCCAATAATCCAACAAAACATGGTATTCGTTTACGTGGTACATTTACACGATCAATCATAATAGTATTTGATCGCGATTTCGAAATTTTTAATGAAAAAAAAAGATGATTGTAATATACAATTTATGCTTGCTATTTATTAAACAATTTTTTTTAGCTTTAAAATATTTCGTTCAACAACTATGATAATGACATCAACATTCATGAATTGAATTATGCCATAAAACTTTATTTTAATTTTATATATTTCTTTTCTAATATAATAAGTGAGATAATAAATATTTTCTTGATTTTTATGATGATGAAAAGAAATTTTTATATTGTATGTATTCAATTTAATTCTGCATTGTAGCATACGTTCGATATTGTTAATTAATATGACAGGTAACTTATTCTATTTCAGATTTGTTTTCAAGTTTAGTTTATCTCAGTTATTATGATTCTAGCATGATATCTAGATTTACGTGAAATAGTTTATGGAAGACGTAGTAAATATTTGAAACTATTGTTTTAGATTAAGAGTGTGGATGGGATTAAAGACAAACGCAACACCTACACGTGTAATTAAGTTCATATTGAAACGAAAAGCATTTGTATTCATTTAAATTCATGATGGTATCAACCAAATGGTAAATCCTGAACTTAAATGTAAAATAAATGAGAGTTTTTTTTAATATTCATCCTGAGACTTTGCTCATTTTGGTGAATGTATTCGGAAAATAGAAACACGTATTTTTGGAATATGAATGGGATTGTGGGCACTTGTTCGAACCTTCTAAATGTGAGTGTTTCGATAGTGAATGAAAAGATTTGTCTGAGATTGTAGTGTCGTAGGCCTGCAGAACTTATGTTTTCTCCTTATAGTGGTGTGATGAAAAACTATACAAATTTCGATACTTTCTGTCATGCATATAATAGATGATTTTGTTGATCTCCCGCGGAATCTAATTTTAGGCAGAACCTTTTGGAAGATTTCTTTGCTTAATCCAATCGCAGAATCTAGAAACAAGTTCTGCAAAACCTCTATGATTTTTTTCAGAGCAGGAAGTGAATTCTATTTGTTGAGGGTTAGGGTCTCCCATGAAGAGTGTGGATGTGTAAAATAACTTATAAACGATAAATATTGTACTAGAACTATACTTTATCATTCTTTGATAGTCTGAAAAATAATACATTTCAACATTTAAAACAAAATTCATGTATTTTCTAATGGAGCTGCTCAATAATTTACAATAGAAATTATATTAGAGTTTTCAGCAACTTGATATTGTAAGATTATTTTAAATTATTTAGATAGAATTATCTTGACAGTACTTTGCGACTTCTCATGATAAGAGGATCATTAATGGTATAGAAGCAATAGTTAAATGTCTTGTATATTCTTCAATTATGAGGGAACAACAATGTCAACTAACAGCTGATTTTGCCACAATTTCTCAATCGAAAATAAATACAATTAAGATTTTTAAAATAGAACAACAAAAAAAAATAATTCATTTAATTAGAGTTTTACAAAATAATTCAATCAAATACAAATATTATTCTAATAAATCAACAAAAAAAGAACATTGAAATTCCATGTTTGAATATACCAACCGTCTTTTATCTGATTATAGAGAGACTTATATTGCTTGTATAATAGAATTATGTTTTATTTAAATATACATGAACAATAACAAATATATGCATGTATATGTAGAAAGAAAAGGTTTTGTGTTTTATATTCTTAATCTTCGTTGCTCTCAGTAAAATATAATTATTTTTCTCCAATGGTGACTATTTTGAACAGTTGATAGCTTTTTTTTTATCGCATACATATTGTGATGCGTATTCGTCACCTGTATTATTATCTTTGTTACAATTTTTTTTTGTATTAGAACGATAGTTAAATAGAACATTTGAGATCTGCACACTTTAATCTTTCGCATATAAATAACAGTTTTCTTTTTATACATAAAAATTTGTAGCAAAACAAAGCATAAAAAAGTTATTATCAAAAAGTCCTAGTCATTGGGTTACGTTAATTAAACTGATTCTTGTTCAAAATTAAAAATCTGTCTAAAGAATTTTGTATTTTGTTAGATGCCTCAAACTATCGGGTACAAAACATCTGTAGAACATTTCTTTCAATACACTACACATTCGTAGAAACATGAAGAAAACATGCATCACCCTCAAACTTTTGTCCTTTTTTTCGTCATCGCGTTACGCTCGTCCAAGTCGTCATTAGTACTAGCAGAAGTACTCGGCGTTGTCTAGGAATCTACAATGAATTAACATACCTCACCTAATTAAGCTATCAGTTGTTCCGTAAAGTATATCGTGCTCAACAGATGTCCGATTTCTAACGTCCTTCTTACGATCGTTCAGTGATAGTTATTTATCCAAACTCCGGTGGCTGTTGATTCTCTACTAATCATAAAGTCATCGAGATGATTGCACCCGAAATACGAATTTTTTATGTCTAAAATACCTTGCCATACCATGTTCTTGATAGTATGAGTGGTTTTGTCAGCTCTCCTAGGAGCTAGATTCCAACTTATCAGGTCTAAAATTTCCTGCCTCATCATTTTTTCCGAAAGGATAGGTGTCTTCGTCTATTTTCCTATTGGTTTCCGGACAATCGATCAAATTTTTAGGTAAATAGACCCTAGATTCGAACCTGTAGTTCTCGACAATCTAGAGTTCCATGTTTTCTGTGCATTTAGAAAGTGCTACTCAATAGCACTTCTTTAGTACAGAATATTTTGGAGGATCAATTCTTTTAGAATAATGAAAATAGGCATTGACCTTCTCCTGAATGAGAGAAAGATTCCTGAAAAGTTTGGTTGGATTTGCTTGTATGATGCAGACATACATCAAGAATAGAGTGACAAATAAACATGCACGCTTATATCTATATCATAAACTTATGATAATAAATAAGAAATGATTTTCTAAAAAATGTAAAAACAATTCGGTGATTTTTGTTGAGCTGTTATAGAATGTTTATTTGCATATTCGTATGATCTGATTAAAATTTGGTGATAACTGATCGATGTCGGCATGAAAGTAAAATCGTTGTATACATCCTTCGATATCCTTAGTGACCTCAATTGCTCGAAATCGATCTGGTATATGGAAAACATCTTAATCATGCAGTGGATCACCCAGACGAGGATGTCTTGGATTGGGTGTTCTTGCTCGTCGATGCTTTACGGCACCAAAAATGTCTTCAATATTTTCTTGATCAACTCGATGAACATGTGATGATGGTGTTGCCGCCCGTCGATGTTTTTTTACAGGCTCAATAACAATGACGGGATTTGGATTATCCAGATGTTTTTTTAATTTCACAATCTTAGGATCATCTTTTTTACAATCGGCATCTTGTCCATGAACATTATTGAACTGTTTCATCATATCTTAGAAAAGTTGTTGAATTAGATCCAAATTTACGTGTGATTTCGGTGATGGTGGTGGTGGAAAAATCGGTTTTGGTTCGACTTTTCCCTTCTTACGATATTCATGATAGAAACCAATGAAAATATTATCTTTTTTTCCTATTGTTTCTTTTGCATAATCGGGACACTTTTCTTTGATATATCGATCGGCTGCTTGTCGACACTTATGAAGAGTATTTTCCAGTTCGACAGCTGTTGGTCGGCGAGTTGATTCATCCCGAATACATTTAAGAATATAATTCGTGAAAATTGGACTTTGTTCGATTAACTCAACTCGTTTTGTCGATTGATTAAATCGATGAGTTTTTTCTGTAAATAGTTCATTCAATGTCAATCCATAAGTAAACACATCTAGTGATTGATCATATTGACCATCTCCTCTATAATAAACAGAATAGTAACAATTAAAAAGTTAGTCAAAGTAAATCAAGTTCAATTAGATTTCTTACTGACCGATAAAATTCCGGTGGCATGAAAGGCAAACAACCAATTAATGTGTGACGTTCGTCTGGATTGAATAGATTAGCAATACCCATGTCACCGATCTTTGCTACGAAATTATTCGACACAAGAATGTTATCAGGACGAATATCCCGATGAATCATCGAGTGTCCATGTAATTTACGCATGCCACTAGCAATATGACAGGCCATAGAAAG